ATGTTCCCCTCCAGCGGAGTCTGTGGACAGAGGCCACAGAGCCACTGGTCCCAATGGCTCAGCCGGTTGCCAATGTAATTCAATGCGTTAACAGAGGGATAGAGTCAAGATGACGGTCGTCTACTGCTTTACAAAGCCTTAATACGGTGTTTCTCAACCTTGGCAACTTGAAGATGTCCGGACTTCAACTCCCAGAATTCCCCAGCCAGCGAATGCTGGCTGGGGAACTCTGGGAGTTGAAGTCCGGACATCTTCAAGTTGCCAAGGTTGAGAAACACCGTATTAAGGCTTTGTAAAGCAGTAGACGACCGTCATCTTGACTCTATCCCTCTGTTAACGCATTGAATTACATTGGCAACCGGCTGAGCCATTGGGACCAGTGGCTCTGTGGCCTCTGTCCACAGACTCCGCTGGAGGGGAACATTCAGTTCTCCTGCTGGCTGGTGGGGTTGTGTCCACGCTGGGGGCCGAGTGCGTACTTGCACACCTCTGTTCTTGTTAACGTAACTGTGTGTTGGGACTTTGTCAACCCACTCCGTGTCTGAGAATACAGCTAACCTGTCCCCTCCTTCAGGTGACTCGGTCAGTCCATTCCGGACCTTGGAGTCCATCTCTGAATCCCCATAAGCTGGAGCTGAGGAATTGGCCCATCCTCCCCCCCCCAACTTCCTCCAGCAGGGAATCTGGACCCACCCGATCCCCAGAGATTGTAGCAATTGGCTGACACAGAGGAACTGCAAAGATTGGTGGGTTGCCTGCTGGCTGGGAATGCTGGGAGCTGAAGTCCAGCCATCCCAAAGGCTGCAAGATTAAAAAAGGCTGCCTTGAGGCTTCATCCTGTTGTCCTGGGCATGGCCGTGCCCTGCCAGCCGCCCCTGTCCCGCATCTTGGAGAGGGCTGTGTGCAGAAGGCTCAGCCAGGAGACGGGCTCACCTCCGTCGGCTGTTTACAGAGAGCCCAGGGATTGGTGAGGGGAGGCCAGGCATTCTCCCTCTTGCTTGAAGCTCAGCCAATGCTCCCAAAATTGGGCTTCTGGAATCAGGCAGGGGGCTGTAAAATTAGGAATCTGAACGTGGGAGGGGGATCTCAGGGACCCCCCAGGTGTTGCCCTGGGCTGCAACAGAGTTCCCCTCACAAAACTCCTCCTCTCCCGTTGGGGTGGGGGGCTTTGTAAATGGCCAGCAGCCTCAACTATCCCTTCGTAGGGCCTGCCAGCCAGGGGAAGGGAGGGAGGGGGGGAAGCTGGGGGGTGAGGAGGTTTGTAGCCCCTCTAAATCTTGGAGGGCAGCTGGAGAGAGTGGCAGGAAACAGAGTGGCAGACTGTCAGCAAGGGTGGCTCACCTCGGCTGGAATAAGGATGTTAACGGGCCCCCTGAGGCCGAGTGGATTTGAGGACGGACAGAAAAACTGCATGTGGAAGCCCCCTCGCCAGTGGGTTGCAGCCAGCCTCCTCTGCCCCCCCCCCCCCCCGCCCCCCCCCCCCCAGGCCTGGTGGCAGCTGAACTGAGCCGGCATTCAGCTCGCCTCTTGGTGTCCCTCCACCCTAGTTGCCCCCCCCCGGCAGGATCCAGCCCTGGGAAATTAGCAGGGGCTTCTGTTGATCCGCTGGGGCAGCCAGATCCCCCCACCTCTACAACATAGGCAGGGGGCCCCCCCCCCCCCAGTCCAGTTTGTGGTCAAGCCTTTGTTCCTCTTGGGGCGGGAGAGGGGAGCATTTGGATGCCCTGGCCGAAGGATGCTGCGGCTGGACCACAAATGCAAGAATTCCCCCCCCCCTACGCCCCCTCCCAGACTCTCCACCTTCAGACCAGCGGTGGGAGTCACTTTCCCTACCGGTCGGCAAATGTGAGCGCATGTGCCGCGTCTGTGTATGCGCACCACCTTCTGCGCATGTGCAGTGCTCACGCATTATGTCGGACAGGCGGGTGGAGCCTCCTGCAGCTGCTGCTCCTGGTTTGCCCGAACAGGGAGAGAACCGGCTGAGCAGCCCCTCCGCTTCAGAGCCCCCTCCGCCCTTCGGAAGAGGCTGGGAAGGTGAAGCCCCCCCCCCGGAGTTCCCTCCAATGGCGAGATTCCTTATTTATCCGCAAATAAAACACGCCTGGTGAAATGCAGCTTCCCACAAACGAATGTTGTCTTTTTATTCTGTACAGTGCAAAGCCTCCGTCCAGCCCTCTCGTGCTTCCGGGAGGAGCTGCGCTCAGAACGGGCAGCAGAAAAGCTCACGGGGGGAGGGGCATCAGAGTCCTCCATGCTGGGCATTTCATGGATTTATTAGCCCAGAGTAGAATCAGCGACAGAATTAAGAGGACAGATTGGGGCCCACCGAGTCTCATGAACAGTGGCCTGCAGCCAAAGCCAACTTTCCCATCCTTTCTGGAACCGTCTTTATCTCTGGAGGACCTGGGGAAGGGAGAGCAAGGCTTCCCGGGTCCCACGAGGTGGCAGGGCTTCATTGGGGGTGGGGGGGTGGGGGGCTTGGCGCACATCCCCCTCCAGAAATGACCGGAGACAAGCGGCCCTCCAGCTCTCTGACCTGCAGAGCTTTGGAGGCAACGGACGCCGGCTGGCAGCTGGAAGGGCCCACGAGAGGCTTCCTCTACCAGCTGTGGCTTCTGGGTGGCCTTCGAGGGCAGCCCCACCTCCAGGGCATCGCAGTCCTCTGTGAGGGGAGCTGAAGGCCGAGGGGGCAACTGGCGCACGGGGGACGAAAAGCACAAAGGTTCATCTTGTGGCAGGATGACCCTCCCCCCAGCTGCACCCCAGTCTGGAAGAGGGAAATGGGCCCCCCCAAAAGACCAAGGATGGGGACACAGCTGACCCACAGGGGGGAGGGGCATCACACAGACCCAGGTGTGCAAAGGCCACAGGTGGGCCTGGTTGGTCACTTGCACCTGGGGCTTCCTGGCGGAGGCTTGGCCTGGAAGGCAACCCCCTCCCCCTCCCAGCGGTTTCATGCAGATGTTCAGCAGGAGAGGGTGGAGCTTCGGGCTCCGAGGTGCCCCACACGAGAGGGGCTGTGGACATGACGCCCTTTCTGTCTGTCAACCTGGACTGCAACCGAGGAAGGCACTGACCCCCCCCCCCCCCCCAAGACCCCAAGCTGCTCCAGAGGAGGCTGCCCTGCACGGGTCACAGCAGCCCCCAAACCCCAGGTTGGCCGAATAAATCCAGGCACCACAGCCCCGAGGCAGATGTGCAGAGAGTGGGTCTTGCAGGAGGACTGACCAGCCACCCCTCCAGTCTTGGTCCCTCAGTTCCAGCTGTCCGATATGCCAGCCCTGGTCAGGCCAGTTCATGGCCGCTGGCCAGCCTATGGTCACTCTCCTCTGGCCTTCTGCTGGAAGTAGGCCTCAAAGCGGCACTGGGCATATTCCTGGAAGGAGGGACGACAAAGTGACTCACCTTCCCGGCCCACTTTGGTCTGGGGAAAGGGAGGGGCAGCCCTGGGATCCCTTAGGGTGCCCCTTTGTCCCTCTAGGCCCTGGGGGGTGAGATGGGAGCCCTCGGCACTCACCAGGTAGCCAAACTCAATGGTGGAGATCTTGGCCTGCAGGATGGACCAGAGGCCCCAGAAGAAATGGGAGGCCAAGGTGAACCTGCAGGGGGTGGGGGAGGAAGAGTCGGCCGGGGAAGGGAGGGGGGGGTCTGCCATTCGTGCTTTTTCTCACTGGGAGCATTTCCCAGGGGAATGAGGGGCAGACCGAAGCCCCTCGCAATGCCCCCCCCCTCCCCGCCCTCAGAGGAAACTCTCACAGCTCTTGACTCCCAACCCAAAGAAATGCCGGCTGCCGCAGCGGTTCCGGCCACCCCCACCCGCAAGACTGACCGGCTGATCTCCAGGAGCATCTTGGCCTCCAGGCGCTCCTGCTCCTCCGCCGAGGGGGGGTCGGCCTTCCCACCCGCCTCCTGCAGGTAACACCGGATGAAGTGCAGCTGAGGGAAGACGAGAGAGGTGAGGCCAACCGGCTCCTGCTGCCACCAGGCACAGCTGCTGAGACCCCAGGGGCAACTGGCCCGAAATAAACAGGGGCCGGTGCTAGAGACCCCACGGAAGTCGAGGGGGAGGAAGCCACTTCCGGCTGGGCAAAGGCCTCCCCAAGCGGTTCCTAGCAATCCCTGAAGAGTCGCTGCTGCTCAGGAGGCCAAAGGTTCTCCTTGATGCTCAACTGATGCCCCCCAAGCCCTCCCCACAATATAAAGAAGATTCCAGAAAGGGGGCAGAGAAGAGCAACAAAGGTGATTAAAGGAACCCTTTGAAGAACTGTGGCGGCAATTGGGCGTACCTAAGGAAGAGGAGGACTAGTGTCGGGCTGCCCCAAAGAAGTGGGGGGGGGGGGTTCAAGCTATTCTCCAAAGCGCCCAAAGGCAGGAGGAGAAGCAACGGATGGAAGCTGACCAAGGAAAGGACCAGCCTGAACCCAAGGAGGACCTGCCATCAACCAGAGGAAAGGCTCCAGCCATTGTGGGGGCTCCATCCCTGGGGGCTTTTAAAGAGAGAGTGCAGGGTCCGAGATGAGGGCTTAGACTAGAAGACCTCCAAGGCCCCACCTAAGCTGGGAGTCCTGGGGAGCATTTAAACTAAGACCCCCACAGCAGAAGGCAAGGCCGATCCACAGATCCAAGTATAAACTCACTAGCTCAAGTCCCAATCGGCCAGAGAGGCTGGGGGCCGCCTGAGCTGAGACCAGGGCTCTCCAGCCCCCCAGGTCACTGCTGCTGGGCCACCCAGTGTGGGAGGAGAGGCAGCCTTGGAGGAAGGGGGGGGGGCAGGTGAGCAAGGCAGGAAGGGAGAAGGAAGGGCTGCTCATTGGGGCTCCTATGGCAAGGCCAGCCCTGGGCTTCTCGCCATCGTCTCCCTTGGAGGACAGAAACCCTAGAAGGGCTGGGAAGGGGGAGCTTCGCTCTCGCCACCTACGACTCTTGTCTACGGGTGGCCGCATTATTTCTCCTCCTTTCCCGAAATGTATAAAGACGAGCGCATCCTTCAGACCCTGGGAGACCCTCCCTCCCTCCCGTTATTTCTCCAGGCTGCACTCTTCACCATGAGCCCCACTGGAGCCAGGCTGGAGGTCGGAGGTTGGGGTCCTGCGTTTGATTCCACGGGCCTGGTTGACTCTGGGGATGGGCAGCGATGGCCTCTGCGTGACCCCTGGACTCCAACTCCCAGAATCCCTGAGCCAGGCGTTCTGCCGTCCCCTCCAATCCAGCCCCGCCTTCCCCCCAGGGCCGTTACCTGTTGCTGGCGGCTGGGGTACTTCTCCGGGCTGGCTTTGTAGAAAGGCCACTCGTCGTGGGTGTAGCTGTAGACCCACTCGCAGAAGTGATTGGCGAGGTCGAAGCCCCTGCAGGAGGAGGAGGGGGAATGGTCTTTGGTGGCCCCTGAACCAGCCCCCCCCGTTTCGTCCCTTTGACCCGGCTGCGGAGGCCGCCCTACCGGTAGTTGTAGCTGCTGTACTCAAAGTCAATGAGCATCAGCCGGTCTGTGGAGGAGGCCTCGCGCCTGGCCAGGAGGAGGATGTTCCCTGCGTGGAGAGAGGGGGAGAGAGAGGGGAGAAAGGGGGGTTGGCCATTGGGCCAGCCAGGACCTCCTTCCAGGCTTCTGCCACATGGCTGGCGAGGGCCCCCGCGTCTCTGCCGCCCTCACCTTCCTGCACGTCATTGTGGCAGAAAACCACGGGGGACGGCGTGGCCTCCAGCAGCGTCCTGGGGAAGAGGAAGAGAGAGAGAGAAGGGGGAGGGGGCTTTGCATAGCTCAGCCCTTTTCCTTCCTTCCTGAGGGGCCCACAAGGCAGGAGGGTTGTCGGCTCAAGCCGTGGGGGATGGGGCTCAACGACCCTCCCAGTCTTTCCATACAAGGCTGTCCTGGAAGGTCCCAACCTCTGATTCCACCCGCAGCCCTTTCCTGATCCCAGGGGGAAGAGGGGGGAGACTACTGCAGAATTGGCAGGGAGCCAGGGGCCGAGACCCAGGGGGCAAGTGGTGGGTGGCCCGGAATCTGGCAGCCCCTCTGGGGGCCTCTCTCTGGGCTCACCTGAGGCTGTGCATTTCGGCCTCCAGGTTGTAGGCCTTGAGCCGGTTCAGCTTGTGCCGCTGGGCCTCCTGGGAAAAGGTGAGTTCAGAGATCTGCTTCAGGTACCTGCCGGGAAGGGAGGAGGGTGAAGGGAGGGGAGGCGGCCTCTGGAGTCCTGGGCGGGGCTAGAGCAGCCCCAGCCCCCTCTGCAGCCGAGGGGCCACCCACCTCTCCATGGTCCCAAACATCCACTTCGGCTCCTTGTTGAAGGGCATCACCATGCCATGGAAGCGGGCCATCTTCACCGCGATCTCCCCCGAGATGGTGGGCTCCAGCAGGTCCTCCGTGACCAGGCGGCGGCTCTGTGGGGGGAGAGAAAGGGCAGCCCTGAGGCCGGGGGTGGTGGTGGCCGGAGAGGGTGGGGGGCTCAGAGCCAGTGGGGAAGGCTGCAGGGGGCCACAGAGGGCCCTGACCTCGCCTTGATTGAGAAGCCCCCCACAGGCTCTTGAAAGCAGGCCGGGAGCAGAGGACTCCTGCCCCACACGCCCCCCTGACTGCACAAAGCCGCCCTGAGGCCCAGCCGCCCACCGCTTCGCTTCCCCAAGTCTTGGGAGGCTGTTTCCCCACCGCTGGGGCTGCGACGAGAGTGTGAGAATTGAGGGTTTCGGTCGCTCTTCCTCCTGCTACGTTTCCAGGGAGGACGGCTCCTTTTTGCCTGTTTCTTTTTGCCTGTTTCGTGGCTTTGTTTTCTATCTTTTTGAATTCAAAGTCATCCAGAGTCAGAAGTTGAATAAAGTAAATAAAATTCTAGACAAAGCAGAGCTACGTCCAATTTGGACTCCAGTTGAAACCTCGGCACGACGACGTCTCTCTCCCACAGCAACTCCTCCCTAGGGAGCGCTTGGGTGGGGCTGGGGAGGGCAGCCTTGCCCCTCTGCCTGGGGGGGGGGCTGAGCGCTTTAAAGGAAGGACGGGAGCCGAATTGTGGATCCAGGGGCAGAAGGAGTTGGCAGTCCCCCTCCTGTCCTCACCTCCCTTTAGTTCTTCACCATTTTCTAAAATGGGATTCTGGGAATCAGAAGAAGAGAGTTGGAGGGGACCTTGGAGGTCTTCTAGTCCAGTGTTTCTCAACCTTGGCAACTTGAAGATGTCTGGACTTCAACTCCCAGAATTCCCCAGCCAGCGAATGCTGGCTGGGGAATTCTGGGA